CCCCCCCCCCCCCCCCACTCGAAAGAAACATGGTCAACAAGGAGTTTTATGGGAGATGTGCAAATGGAGAATTCGCGAATGAATAGAAAGCGAAGGCCCATAAAGTTGATGTCATGTGGTCTCCAAGGAGCCAATGAGAGAGCGTGCTTTTGGGGAAAAAAATCCAGAGCTATCACAATGATTTTAATAGATTTCTCCCAAAATATGAACACACAGGACGGAACTAACCTTTAGCTGAAACATGCCGGTTAGGCCGCCGTTAGTCGTGACAAAATGGTCGCTAACGGCAGCTGCAACTCGACATATTAAAACTGGCGAAACCTGTTTAACCGTCACAGCAGCCTCTTTTCTTCTGCTTTAATGAGCTTTTTAACGAACAGCCCACGTTCGATATATTAAAATTCTCACAAGACTCCGAGGCTTTAGGGTTAAAATTGCCAATTTTTTACGACTCCATTGTCTCGCAATTCCCAGAAGAGACCTTTGCACAAAGAAAACCAAACGAAATGTAGAAAAATGACCAGAAAGCGTCGGAGTCATTTTAGAAATTTAATATATCGATCGTGGGCTATTCACTATTTTCACATCGACCATAATGCACCTTGTTTGCCCCCTAAAATTTTGCATAAGCATTGTCTTCGATTTCTCTTGGGACGAAATTAGTACCCAGGAGAAATGGAAAACAATGGTTATGCAAAATTTTGAGGGATAGACAAGATGTATTATGGTCTTTGTGAAAATGGTGAATTACAGAAAGAGGTCTTGTTGCTCCTATATTGTCTGTTGGCACTTCATGCAACCACGTTTTTCTCAGCCAGTCAAAGGCAAACGCAAAATAATTGTGACTAACGCAGTTGGCTAATTAACGTGCGTTTCCCACGCTTGACACCGGCCGCAAGCTTCAATTCACGTTTTGCTTTGTCCATTACCGTGTACAAAATTTCATTTGATCGGTAGGTTAGAGTTAAAGTAAAACGTTCATATTGCCACGTGATCGCTCATCATCACTTCGAAAGTGTTTCGTCGAGTCACGTGATTGTTCACCCTACTCAGTCCATTCGGTTTCAGCAGAACTCGAAAGTATTTTCCCTACAATATGACAAAAGTCTGCTTATAAGCTTGAATTATGAAGAAATACAAAAAGTCAACAAACATAAAAAGGAAAACCATTCCTTTTGAGCTTCAGTCATCTACGGACTTGAAAAACTTTACCGCTTCCGCGCAATCTGCAAAGTAAAAAAGCAAGTGTTCATAGACAAAGTTTTCCTCAACCAGGAAAAAATGCCAGTTTTCCTTTCCATCAAAACTGAAAGGAAAATATTTGTCAGGGATAACTTTTAATTAAGGGGCTTATTACGTAAGTCTTCACGACGGAAGCAAAACCTTAAAGTTTGAAGATACTGTACGTTTTAAGGTGATGTTACACGAGACGATTCGCAACAACGACTTTTAGCGCAACAAAGCGTTGCCACGTTGTTGCGACATTGTTTCGAATGGTTACAACATTGTTCCAACATTGCAGCGCTCTGTTGTCCTAAAAATCGTCCCGTGTAACATCACCTTTGGGCAGCGGATGCCTGAAAGGCTCTTCTTAAAAGCTGGGCTGGGCTGGTTAGCGTTACCTCATTAACAAGAGAAACGAGAAACAAGGGTTTTTTACCATTTACATGACAAAGCGGTCGGTTCACAGATCGGGCAAATGGTAAGACAAAATCAGGACTGTTAAACTTCATTCCAGACTCGTCAATACCATTTGCATATATCTGATCCTTTTACCATAAAAACGGCTGGGGAAGCATTAGTATCAAATATGGGATTTAGCAAATGGTAAACGAATTTCCGTTTGAAACATTCTCTCCGAAAAAAAAAAAAAAAGGACTTCCTCTTCAGATGTTCCGTTGCTCCCGGAAATTTCCCACTAGAACGACAAGAAAAACCGTGTTCTATTTTCTTTTTGGCCAAATTTGCCAGGTAAAATGGTACAAGGACCACCAGAAAAGTGACTGTGTCTCACGCCATCTATAAACCTTTCCCGCATTCCTGTAAACAAAGGCATCAAGTCGAGGCTCGGGTGGAAAAAATACAGTGATTTGTATGAAATAGTCCACCCGAGCCTCGACCTTATTCCTTCATGCTTGCTCGCTGGAGCGGAATACGGGAAAGGTCTATTCGCCCTTTCTTATAAAACATTCTTAACATCCTTTAAAAAAAGAAAGAGTGTAACCACCTTCAAACAAGGACGCGCTTATATAAAGAGGCCATTAGTAAAAGGTTGAGAACCCAACAATGCGCTCTTATATCCCAATTAGCAGAGTAATAAAACTGACCCTTTGGTTTTAGTTGTAGTTGGAGCTTTCTGTTGATATTGTTGACTGTGATAAGCAGCCGGCATTCCTGAAACGGCTCCGCTGTCCAAATCAGACTGAGAAGATGCCTTGATCACCTTTTTCAAATTTTCAACCTTAAGCAAAAATAACAAAAATGGATTAATCATTGAAGAGATTACATAAGCTCCATTACCAGTTGTTCGCGCGCGCTCATGGAATGACACCAGGTATCGAGCCTAGAGATTGCAGCCTCATTAACCTATCACAGCACAGGAAGAAAACAACGAATCCCAACCACCGTAGCTTGACCCAACTGTTTTTTAAACAACTTTTGACTGGCCAAACTTTGCAGGGGCGGATCTAGGGGGAGGGTGCAGGGAGTTCGCACCCTCCCCACCCCTCCCCCTCTGAGATGACCTGCGGTTTTCTAATACAACTGGTATTCTGCCAAAAAAAAAAAAAACTATGTGGTTTATTGGTGTTGAAGTAGAGCAAGAGACGAGTGCACCCCCTCCTAAGAATAATCCGGGATCCGCCCTGCAAAGTGACCCTGTTTGGAATATGTTGCCCGCTTCTGACGATTTAATATGCCAGTTTTGTTATGGTTTTCCCTTGCAGTAGGAAAACGGAAAATGCAATGACGCAATTAGAGTGGAAGAGCATTTAGGTGCTCCAATAAAATTATAAGAGATATTAACACAAATCCATATCAAATACAAAATGATACCAAAATAGACTGATAAGAAGCAAACCAGTTGGCTGCTATCAATTGTGGCAAAGAAGAGCCTCTTTATTCAGAACTTTTGTTACATTTTTTTTACCCTGGACTACCAGAGGTTTCTTGTCGCGTGCGACGGTTTTCTTTAATGTAGTAGGAGGGTGACAGATCTTCGCCCGAAGTCTGAAGCTACTAGAAAAAACTTGTCGCTTTTCGCGCGAGGCACTATAAAAGACTTGACCGAGACCAGGAACCGCACATAAAAGCCTAGCACCCAGGGTGTACAAAACAACCTAAAAGGACACAGCAGTTACCTCTACTTCGACTTGACTCTTCTGTTTCTGCTTTTTTTCTTTGTGTGAATTTGCTCTTTGTATCTGTTTTTCTATGCTACGAAGGACTGACTCACATCCTTCACACCTGCAATAAAAAATAGAGAATGAAAATCAAACTGGCATTCCTTGAACTGAGTGCTGAGAAAATCTACAAAGCAATGATTGAACTTGTTTTTACGTATTGTGGAACTTTGGGTATCTATTGGTCACGTTCCCGTAAAAGTCGAATTGAAAGCATTGAACGTCGAAGTCAGAAAGTCATCGACAGTGGAGAGTTTAATAAAGAGACAGTCCTGCCAGCTTGTGTTTGATTGTCTTTAAGATAACGTCTGTACCCCTTTTAAAGGATATTTTACAAAAATTGAACACAACATTAACACTAGAAACAATTTGGTTCACTAAAACTCCCCAAAGCCAAATTAGAATTTGGACGGAGAAGTTTTGCCTTTCAAGGGGCTCTAGTTTACAATACTTTACCTCAGCATTTAAGAAATTTAAATTCTAGGTTACTTTTTAAAAGTAATTTAAAAGAGTTTTAAAATAGTATTCCATAATTCACAACTCTTTTCATTCTTATAAGTCAATGATTTTGCAGATTTTTATTTTTGACTCTTAGATTTCTTAGGGTTATTTTACTTCATTTTCCCCTTTCGACTTATTTTTTATTTTTTAGTTCTGTTATTAATTAGTTACAGGACCCTTTTGATAACAGTTCTTTTCAATAGAACTGATAATTCGGACACTTTGAGGAGTAATATCCACGCTCGCTTTGTACGTATCACGTTTAAACCAGGTAAGTTTTCATATTTTAAGGCACTTTTTCTAGCAGTGTAAATGGATATTTGCTAACGGGTCTTTATCAAAACTTGAAAAAAAAAAAAGAAAGAAAGAAAAAGAACAAAAAATTGGAAGAGTCTACACTTACCAGTCTTGTAAAACTTCTGTTACTCTGTCTACCGTCTCAGGTGTGATATCCCTGCCTATGGCAAAATCTACCTCTAACTGTAAAAAGAAAAAAAACAGGTGATGGGTGCATTAATAAATTAGTTGAAGGAAGGAGAAATCAACAACCAGAAAAATATTATTATTACAGTGCATTAAAAAAATAATAACATGGTATTTATCATTAACAAACATTATTTATTTACTATTAATAATAATTAATAATAATATTATCATTATTATCATAATTATTACTATTATTATTATTATTATTTAGGGAAAGGAGAAATCAATCATCAGAAAGCTCAGAAAAAAAAAATGTAAGTCCAGTTGAGAATGGGACTCGTGACCCACCAAGCTCTAGATCAGATGCTTGGCCTGTGAACAGGCTCTCTGTTTGGGGAAAAAATAGCAAGGAAAGTTCCCTGCTCAACCAAAGGCCTGTTCACAGGCTATCAGATGCTCTAATAGTCAATTATCATGTAACAAACAATGTATTTTTTCTGTGGTAAATATAAACTAGAAATTTCTAAATTCTAGATCTCTATCAAGTGAGTCATTTTCTCTATTATTATTTTCTCAAACATAGTGATACACTAGTGAAAGATTTAGGAGAAACAAGATATTGATCACTCTTGACAGTTCTCACCTGTTTATTTTTCTGATCTAACTTTCCATGGATAATATCCGCATAAATAGCATCAATTATTAAATCCTGCAAATGTAAGCATTCAGACTAAGTTTTACCCCATCATAAGGCACCAGATAGTTAATACTATACTTTTGAAAAAGTCCTTCATCCCTTTTAACACGGCATGGGTCAAAGGTCATCCTCTTGCAATGCCTTCATTCTAGAGAAGAGGATTTGTCACGAGGTGCTCAAAGCAATTTTTAAAGATGCTTACCATATCTTCAAGTACACCTAAGTAGGGTGTATTTCTTCCATGTGTGTTTGGCCACTCAGGCTTTAAACTGTTCCACGCCTTGTCAGGATGGCCAAATAATTTTTTCTACAAAATTCACTTTTATGATTTTCAGACATTCTCAATCCTATAAAATATGAGCTGTATAACACAGTCTTCTTGAAACTGGCCGAGGGTTTCACCCTCTTTTTATTTCCTGACTCATGTATACTGAATCCCATAATAATTATATATGCATCCCATATATATATATATATTTTTTTTACATAAGGAAGGTCATGTCACTCATAGCTGCAAAGGTTCTGTTTTTCACACAATCCATAATAACAGATACTTTTCCCAACATTATCTAACTTTATTTTTTGGCATCCTATCTGAAGGAAATTATCTGCAATAATAATTAAATAAGACACGTCACCTCTAGTTCTCTTAGATTTTTGATATCGAGCTCTTGTAGTAACAAGCTGTAAGGTATAAACTGCAATAACCGGACAAAATATTTTAGTTCCAGAACTGACACCAAAAATACAAGTATTCTTGGGGCATGTTTTATGGCACATAATTATGTTTTTTTTTTGTGCATGTGTGTTGTTTTGTTTTGTTTGTTTGTTTGCTTTGTTTTGTTTTGTTTTGTCTGTTTGTTTATCTGTTATTATTTTTAACATAAAAGCTTTCTATTAAAAACACCAGCCAGGAGGTGGGGCCTACGGATACAATGTACCTGTAAGTTAAGCTGATACTTTAACTAACTGATTATTTTACATAAACACAACAAAAGGAATTTTGCAAATGGGTTTTCATGGTACCAAGGCACAAAATCGAAAAGTGTGTGGAAATGATTCCAAACAGACTAAGAAAAATAATAGTTATAGTAATTTTACATTGCTGAAAAATTAAAAGAACTACTTAACATGCTTTTTTTTTGTTTTTTTGAAAAATTATTTAATGTCCCATTTAGATACAAAACTTGAATTTGTCCAGCCTGGTCAAAATCTTTTGCAGAAGTAGGCAGGGTAAAATTAATGCTGTTGCCGGCAGCTAGGGCTTCTGATTGTGATGCGAGGATGTCACTTACCATTATTAAGTAATGAATAAGTAGCATGTTGTCCACTGTAAGTGGAAAATTGCCAGCTGCTGGCTCATTTTGACTGAGTTGTTTGTCTGTGTTGCATTGCTTTCACTAATTCTTGGAAAGAGGGGAGGGGGAGGGGGGTCTAGAAGTGAAACTACATGTATGGTGCTGGGAAGGGTGTTGTGAACAGGTTTCTGACAAATAATCACTTTTGATATTGTTGTCCACAGATTTACTTAATGGAATTATGGTCACAGATTTCCTAGTTTTTTTTCTCCTGCATCTCATTCTCTCACTTAACCAAAGCGTTCAATGTTCAGTGAGCTTATGTTCCACTCTCTGCGTGAGATTCTATGTCATGCAGTGGTCGCCTACAAGGATTCCTTTTTTATAATAATTGTCTGAAACAATGCCACCAATTTATCGGCGCTACCCGCTAGCAACTCTGAGGGAGTACTACAGCCCATCTCTCACCTACTGAGCCTGCAACATGCTACTGTGTGTAACCTGGTGATGTACTAGAATCTCCATTGAAGGGGAGGAGAGGGAAGGAGGTTGGGAGAGTAGCTACAATATACATGTCTACCCCTACAGGTGTACTACAATGTAGGCGCTTCATGTTTCTAAAAACAGGAATAAGCTCAGGTTTCATGACTGCTAAATCTATTTTCCTACAATTATATTTGTTGTCTCAACCAATGATTGTAAGCACCTTTCACTTACCTTTGACTTAGCAGCTAATGATACTATTGTTAAATGACGCAGTTTCTTTAGTTGTTGAGCAGTAAGGGCAGGTAGGGAGCTGGAATTTGCTGAAAAATATACAATAGTCATCATCAACAAAATTTCTATACTTCTGCTGTGAGAGAAATGATTCTAAAAAGTCAAGCATGAAACCATTCATATTGTACCTTTGTATTCTCCATATGTTCCAAATGCAAAGATGTTTAAAAGTTTCCAGTATGCTGCATTTTCTGAATTCTCCAACTAATACCATAAATGAAAATACATGTATGTACTTATTACCATACAAAACGTCTACAACATAAATTTTGTTTCATAATCAGTCAACTCCTGTTATAGTAGACATCACCAAGACGATAAATTAGCGACTGTTTGCTATTAATTTTTTGAATGACCCATTTAACACACTGTCGGGGAGTCTGATTGGTCAACTATGTCTAGGTGGCTCCAGTTACAGAACTCGCACTTTAACATCCCGTCACTAATATTATACCTTTACATAATAGATTTTCGGAGGCAATGTCATATGGCATACCTCTTTCACAGAAGGCATTTCCAAAAGTTCTCCAAAAACAAACACTCCAGGAGCCTCTAATGCTTGATTTATAAGGGCAACAAGTCCAGCTCCTCGCGCAGACTTGGCAAGCAAAACATACTGCTCTAAGTTATGGCTGTGACTAAACCCTGCCTTGACCTCTTTCTCTGCCATTCCACACTGACGAAGTAACAAGGAGTAACAAGTTAATATATTAAATGAAAACAACAAAACTGATGTCCAAGATGTACAATGTGCTATGTCTAAGCCGCACAGTTGTTTGTTTTCTTTTTTTTTTGTAATTTCATGTACATGTATCAGTCAATATTTCCACAAAAAAAGCCCCAGTTGTAACTCTCATCCCAGACCAACCCTGTGCACTTTACTTTCTTGAACAATTTTTGCCAAATTTCTCACTATGACTGCTGGCTGTCAGGACAACAAAATTAAATGTCCCAATAATTACCATTGATACTAAGATCAACATAAGGCTTAGTTCTATGATCCTCTTTTGCTGTGCAAATTCCAAAGTATGTAGCTTCATACATTACAATTATTATTTTTGAACCTCCCCACCCCTAAATTTTTTTTATCTTTTTTGGAAGAGGGGGAGATATTTATTTTCTGAAAGTAGTGTCACACAAGTAAAACCAGTGAACACCGCCTTCATTTCATACATGTACATATGTAGCACTCTTTCTGTGTCAAATTCACCCAACTATACAGAGGTAACCTTAGGTCAAATGCCAGGGGCATGTAGGTATTTTAAGTGTGTGTGTGAGTGTGGTGAGAGTGAGCTGGGGTGGGGGGGGGGGAGGATTCAGATCCTTGAAATTGACGGTTACCTTAGATAAATGAACCTTGCAGAGAATTCTTTGTTTTATTAGTAACCTAATGCTGGCAAAACAATATATTACTTCGTTATTAAGTTAATCATGAAACAATTGCAATGGTTCTAATACTGAACCTTTCAATCACGGTAACTTCCTTGTTTCGTAGAAAAGATGTCAGATGATTGTTAACAGTGTAGACCGTTCCCGAAAAATGAAGAGAATTGGAAAATTTCCGGTTTGCAAATTTTGAGCAGCGCTGTGGCAGCCCACTGAGACAGGAAGCTATACCTCAAGCTTCTTTATCTTCTGGTTCTGAATAATAACAAAACAATCACGATTAGTTTCTTAAAACTACGATTTCCTTGTAAACCATATCTACAGTAGAAGCCTGGCATTACTCTTTAAAACTATTTGAGCTTAGTTTACCTCCAAGTTAAAGTTTACGTAAAGCTGTTATTTCAACAGAACCGACAGACAACAGAATTTGGGTTGCTAACAAATCGAAAACTCTCTACAGCCTTACCAGTTATAAGTAGAGGACCTAGAAATACGGCAATTAATATCACCAGTAACTCTCTAACAATTGAAAACTACGAACTGAAAATGATAAATTTCCCTGATAGTACCTTTTGATAATCCATCATGGCTGACTTTGGTACCAGACCCTCCGCTGAACGACGCCACAGGAATACCAGTTATTTTAAGAAGTCACGTGACAAAATTTTTTTTCCCGGACAGCGGTCAACATTGATTTGCACAGTCTCAAAATTTGCACTGTTTGGCCAAATGCGTATGTCTGCTTCCTTCTCGTTTATTATAACTTTTTCGTCTTTATATGGCATTCCATAAGCGGGTTCACACAACAGCAGCGTCGAGATTACGACAAGATTACCTTCGAATCGTTAAAGATCCGGTCCCTTACATTACAGCCTTGCCTTTGCCTTCAAACATTCTAGAATGGTTGGTTTAATTTAGCATAGTGTGTGTTTATTGTACGGTTTCCTTCTGGCGTTTTGTCATTCATTCGTTTTATTAGATTTATTCTCAATTGTTTCTTTGAGTAAGGTTTTATTTCACTCACTTTGCAGGCATTACGTTGTTCGAGGTCCTGAGAATACTCCATATACAGGTAAAACAATTTGGAACGAAACAAGTAAAGGGTAGTAGTTATTTAAATAAGTTGATGAATTTAATAAAAGCGGAAGCTATCACTGCAAGCTCGGGTGTCTGTTTTAAACGGTAAATGTTTTGCACTATTCCAGCTACGACTATCTTAAGTTTGTTAGGATGATGTTACATGTAGATTGCGAAATACACAGTGTGTAACACAGCTTATTACTCATTCAAAATATTTCCCCAATTCTGATTGGCTAACAGCACACGCATAATTCACCATAACCAGTTACTGATGACCAAATTTGGAGGAATTTTGTGTTTAACGAGGAAATGACATCAAAAATGCAGCCCACTACAGGTTAAGGCACTGTTACCAAGAAGACCTGGGGACGAGGTTGAGTTGTTTTGGTTGTGAAAAAAAAAAATACGGACATTTCACTCGTTTCAAGAGTAAGAACTACAGCTGGAACTAGGTGAAATAATAGCTAAAACATGGCAAAAATAGCAAGAAGACAACTTGCAGGGCAACAGTCCATATGGTCACTGTGGGAGACATTCGATCTGATTGGTTCAATAAATGTGATTAATAAGAAAGATCAAAGTTCAATGGGGATGGTATATAGTATCGCTCTGCACCAGAGGTTTTTTCTTGCGGCCTTGCTGCTAATGGCTTTGGGCTTCGGCTGAAGATCCATCCACCTATGGCCAACACTGAACCATTCCGCTGCAAACAGTAAAAATATTTCTGGTACCCAGGGTAGATTATAATAAGAAGAGGGTGATAACATTCCATTTGCTAAAATTCAGTTTGTTAGAGGATATAGTGGGCCTGATGTAAGCAACATTTTGCTCGTTTGACTCCATACATATTCTTGTAAAATTAGCTTGGATTATCTGGAGGAAGTGGGGTGATACGTTATATTCTGTAAAATAATTGTACATATTTACTAGAATAATAACCAAGATGATACTGTATACATGCTCTCATTGGCCTGAGAGGCATGTTTGAATGGGAGTACATATGTTTTTCTAGAGTCTGCATGCTAATCATGTGTGTCGGCTGAATTTTGGAAAATCTTACAAACATGCTGTGTATATTAGTTTCGCTCGAGCTGACAATTTAAGGAAGAAAAATCTGTATTTTGGAAAGCAAACAAGGACTGTTAATGACTGCAATACTTCATGTACAACACAGTCGAAAAAATTATAAAAGCAATGGAAAACTTGATTACTGTGTATGCTTAGGCTGATGTACATTTTTTTTATTCTTATTTTTATTCTATTTAGGAGGTTACTATCATGGTAAACTAGTTTTTCCAAAAGATTTCCCATTTAAACCACCAAGAATTTTCATGATTACACCAAATGGAAGGTTTAAAGTCAACACAAGGTAAGAACAAAAAACCTGTTAGGAAAGACCATTGGCTGTACCTTACTTTAATTTGCTTCAGGAGAATCAAATTCCTGGCCTTGGTTCCTGAAAGCCAATTAGTGCTAACCCAGGATTAATATTTTGTTCCACTTTTTGTATTTACCTCGCTATGCATTGCTTAGAGTAACATTTTGTGTATCATAACTGTATCTCAGAGAAAAGGCTCAACAGTATTTTGTAAGCTTGAGTTGCATGTTCATAGACAAGAAAATATGCTAAAAATTTAGCGTAATCTGGGATTCAACTGAACCATCTTTCGAGGAACCAGGCCATGTGTGATAGAAATCCAATCTGGGTATCATCCTCAGGGATCTCCAGACAATTATTGAGAGAAAAAATTATTCAGTAGATAGAAAATTAATAGATTGGCTGGAAAGATGCTCATGTTGGTGGGAGTGTGAAAAGGGGCATAACGTCTGCTGTGCCTTTCCACTGAAAGGACCTGGAGGCCTCCTCAGGTTCGAAATTTGTTTTAGTGGGCCCTGAAAAGTAAATTTCACTTTAATTCTGTAAGTCTGCATTGCAGCTGTAATTTAAGTTGGCTAGGTAAATAACATCTATGAAGTAGCACTGATATCCTTCTTCTGAGCCACCAATGGAATCAACAAATTACTGGAAGTGCATTTTGAATTTCCTTTCCTCCTTTTTGATGAATTGACAATGGCTTTTTCAACAGCCTAATCATAGCACATACTCAAAGCCCAGTACACAGGTGGCATCTACAGCAGAACAAGGATTTTGGCACTGTTTCACAGACAGACTGAACCAGAATTTAGTGTCATCTGTGGCACAGGCTATCATTCTGTGGGACCGCAGAGAGAATTTTAGCCGTGATGATGGCACCATACCCATATTTGGTGTATTTCACGTCATATTAAATTTNATTGACAATGGCTTTTTCAACAGCCTAATCATAGCACATACTCAAAGCCCAGTACACAGGTGGCATCTACAGCAGAACAAGGATTTTGGCACTGTTTCACAGACAGACTGAACCAGAATTTAGTGTCATCTGTGGCACAGGCTATCATTCTGTGGGACCGCAGAGAGAATTTTAGCCGTGATGATGGCACCATACCCATATTTGGTGTATTTCACGTCATATTAAATTTACTTTCTTCCAACAAAATACACCGGATTTATCATCTTTATTTCTTCTCCTCCTCCTCAAAAAAAAAATATTAATTCTGTAAGTAGCCAATACCGATCCATTATGACTGGACACCATTTTTTGCTGGTCACTGCAACTTCCGGAGAACCCTGCATTCTGTTATGTACATGTAGGTAAAATCCATTATTGTGGTAAACTCAGAATTTCTGTTGTAGCTGTACCAGTAAGTTTCACTTAATGAAAGGTCAATAACATGTGTGATCAGATTGCAAGTGATAGAAGGTTCAAAGGCACATGAGCAGATTGTGTTCTATGCATTCCATGCATTCTTAGTGGAAGTCCAAATGAATGCTGGCTCCATACATAGAGATTAGGATTGGTGTGGATGACCAGAGGAGCCCACAATTGATCTATTTTTATACATTGTATTTGCTTTAAAATAATGTGAGTTTAGTTATTATTATAGCTGTTACTTTTATTTATTTTATTGATTGATTGATTGATTTTTTCAAGATTGTGTCTATCAATAAGTGATTTTCATCCTGACACCTGGAATCCAGCATGGTCTGTTTCAACCATACTCACTGGTTTATTAAGTTTTATGGTACGTAATTTTCCACGGTGAATACATTGTACAATGTGTGTGCAAGTCCTCAAACTCGTGACAATCATTCTATTTAGATCACTGTCAAAGAAACTTTCATGTTTGCATGGGTGTCTGTAAATAGTTTGACTGTTTAGTTTTGTGGGAATTGACTGGCCATTTTACATGGTCTTCTGAACCATGAAAAGGCTAGCTGTTTGCAGGGCAAAAAGTCAGTACCTTCATTTCTTAGACTTTACAATGTATTTTAAGATGCTGTCTAATGGTCATGCCCTGGAGATCAAACCCTCAACATTCTGCTCTGCAGTTAAATTCTCTATAATCTGCCAAGTTGACTAGCTGCGCTGGGTCTGCCCTTGTAGTGAGATTTTTAGACTCAACACGTTTAAGTTTTATGTACTTTTTTAAAAATGTTAGGTGGAGACTTCTCCAACCCTTGGAAGTATAGACACATCAGAATTTCAGGTATGCGATAAATACTGTACCCCTTGTCTATAGTGTAGTATTAAGATAGATTAATGACACGGAGAGGGAGTCAGTTTTAGGACATTGGCCGGGATATGTGAATTTCACTAAACTTAGAGGTTGTGTGAAGAGGCTCCAGTTGTTCAAACATTGGATAGCATTATCCACCAGATAAATCACTATCCAGAGGATAAGTATCAGGGAAATTAATTGCATTATCCACTGGATAGAGATTTATCAAGTGGATGGTGTTATCCACCTTTTTGAATAACTGGGCCCAGGAGTCTAAATCCTGGGTCATCCATACATCGTGTTAAATACACTGTAGATTGTTTGAAATTTCATCGAGCCCACACACAACTGCCTCAAAGCAATAAAAAAAAATAATAATAATTAGTGCAGAATATTGTTAGTTTACATGTATGGCAACTGTTGAATTCTCTCTTGACAACACTGAATAATAAACAACAACTTCTGATTAATCCAAGCATTTAACTGGTAAAATTCACATAATAATTATACCAAGGGCTGGACCGGGCGTTTCCCTGTTTGCGCCATTACATTTTGTATTACATGTATCTCTTGCGTATATCAAATACAGCTTGTGTTAATAATATTTTAATTTGCCTGTCTTTTATTCTTTTAGTTGTCCTCTGTGAGGAGATAATTATTAATCATGTATTAGCATTTTTGATATTATTATTATCATAATAGGAAGAGCTCCATGCAAAAGCATCTCCTCCAAAAAGACAGCCCCTCCCAAAAGATGGGGCAAGGGGACATTTCTGCCATTCATATACAGTTGTATCATGGAATATTTATCATTTAAGAAGTTTTAAAAGTGTATGATCCAGCTTCGTAAGTGTAGTATTTTGGTCCTTCTCTTAATTTTGTTTTAATATTATAT